CTGGCTGGCTGGGGAATTCTGGGAGTTGAAGTCCACGCATCTTCAAGTGGCCAAGGGTGAGAAACACTGTGCTACAGGAGAGAAAGGCCAGAGAGCACTTAACTATATGCACTTAGGATGAAGTGGCCCCCCCGGCCAGCTATGCTTCCCCACAAGAAGAGCAGCGTAGGACCAGGATCACCCCAGACCCCAGGAAACAATTTCAAGCCCCCTCTGGACCTTCTGCTCAGGTGGCTTCCAGAATCGGCCCGGTGGCTCCTCCTGAACAACGAGCGCGAAGCCGCCCTGCGCAACCTGAAACACGTGGCAAGGATCAACGGAAAAGCCGCTGCAGGGGAAGCGGTGGTCCTGGAGGTGAGGAGCAACAGGGTTTCCCCGGCGTTCGGAGCACGCCCCATAGCCTGCCCTCCAAGGGTTGGCCTGGCCCTTCCAATACGTGTCATGGGTGGGTTGCTCTACGCACAAAGGCTGTTGCGTTCATCACTGCACAATCTCCTCCTCTCCCTATGTAGATGCTGGAGACCCAGACAGGTGGTAGTTCTCCAGGACGGGGCAATCACTCTTGCTTGGACCTCTTCCGCACCCCTGGGCTGAGACGCATCAGCTGTTGTCTCATGCTGATCAGGTATGGGGAAGGTGTCCTGGGGCAAAAAGGAAGGATGAGGGTGGATGAAGGAGACCAGTCTTCTCCAAGCAGGGGTCCTCTCAGGTTGAGAGGATCACAACTCCCATCTTCCCTAGCCAACCCCTCAGCCTGGCACCAGCACTGATCAGAGGGGGAAAAAAGAGGGATGGACATTTTGCTAAGAGAGTTCTTGAGTTGAGCTATCGGACTCCCGCTGGCCAGCTTCTAACCAAGCGTCTGTCCTTCTCAGTTTCTCCATGAACATGGCCTATTTCGGGCTCTCCATGGACCTCTCCATTTTTGGCCTGAACGTCTTCCTGGTGCAGCTCTTCTTCGGAGCAATAGACCTGGTGGCCAAGATGGCGTGTGCCTTGCTGCTCAGCTATGTTGGCCGGCGCCTCATCCAGGCCATTTCTCTCATGCTTGCAGGGATGTTCCTGTTGTTCAGTCTTCCTGTCCCTTCCGGTAAGAAGAAACGACCGGAAGTAGTGGCCATCTTCAGTGCTCTACTAGCAGTTGTATTTTGCTCACCTTTAGCTATGTATGTGGGAAAAGGCAGGACCAAGAGGCTACTGAGTGTTGACTAATGGTAGGACTGGCCCTGAGTCTGCTGCAGCAGAAGCTGTTACACCAGTGTTTCTCAACCTTGGCAGCTTGAAGATGTGTGGACTTCAACTCCCAGAATTCCCCAGCCAGCATGGGTTAATTCAGTAACCAGGTTATGCATGTAACATGAAGGAAAGCCTTGAAGGTCATCTAGCCCAGTGTTTCTCAACCTTGGCAGCCTGAAGATGTGTGGACTTCAACTCCCAGAATTCCCCAGCCAGCATGGGTTAATTCAGTAACCAGGTTATGCATGTAACATGAAGGAAAGCCTTGAAGGTCATCTAGCCCAGTGTTTCTCAACCTTGGCAGCCTGAAGATGTGTGGACTTCAACTC